ATTTACATATAAAAAACTTATGTCTCTCCACCGTTAAATTATTTTTCTGTTGAAAATAATTTATGAATTTTTCTAATATTTCATCGACTGTTGTGCATTTCGTATTAATAAAGTTTAAAACCGTTGCTCCATTTACTCCAGTTTTCACTTAACGCACCAGTTGTTATGTTCGTCGTATTTTGATCAAAACAAAAAGGAGACGGCGGAGTTAGGATAGTTTCCATGTTGTTCACTTTTAATCACTTTTAGATATATATTTTAGATTTATATTTTAATCTTGTATATATGACTATTATTTAATATTTGTATCCTACCGACTGCGCCATGTCGTGTGACGGGTACACGTTATTCAAACAATAAGGATCGAGTAGCACTGTCTTTATTTTATAGTTTTACATATACCGACACTGTGCTGAGGAATTGGATTCAATTCCCGGGTGTTACCAAATGTTTGTATGATCTGCAAATATTTGTTTCGGAGTTAGGGTGTTTTCTATGTAAAATTTGTAGGTATATACAAAAAATGGGTATATAAGTATCCTATCAGTCAATCTAGCCTTTATAGTACAAGTTCTGCTTAGTTTGTTGTGTGTGTTACAATAAAAAAAAAAATACTGAATTATATCTACGGCGTGGAAAAAGTATGATGGGCCATAAACGCAAATAAAGATAAACTTGGAAAACATATGCACATGAAAAGAATAATAGCTGTTATGATCAGGAGTGTGTGTGATCACGTCAAATCATTTCTCTTGGTGGAAGTCTCTTATTTTAAACTACCCATAAATTCATTTATATACAGTCAGTTTGCCCATCCAAAGGTTGCCATATATAAGTTAACTTAAGTGGATTCCCCCAAAGGGAAATGGTTTAACGTGATCACACACGCTTCTGATCAGGTCATCATCTATTATTATTTTCTTGTACACATATATTCCAAGTTTGTCTTCAGCTGCATTTATTGCCCCATCATACTTTTTCCACGCCGTAGTATAATTCGCTTCCCCGTAGATTCTGTGATAAGGAACATGGTCTTGCATACTCGTTTTTGTTTCATACTTTTTTTTAAAGATTAGTTAAAGCTGCTGAAAAGCAATGCTTTTTTTGGATCATAGTAAAATAAAACAAAACAAAGAAAATTGCATAGCCGACCATGTTAATAGGGACATATAACGCTGCAAAAATGTATTGATTTCTCCTATCTGTAACATACTGTAAAAATAATGCAGTTTTACACTTACCGACTTTATAAAACATAATATGCCCAAGGTACTGTTAACAGATTTAAAATACACTAGCTTTTGACCGGGGCACGGTTACTAGTCTATGTCCTTTTTCAAGAATTAAACTATCTTCATACCTAATTATATCTAAATTGCTACAGCGGTTATTGATTCCCCATACAAACTTCTACCCCCCTTTCACCCCCTTAAAGAATGATTTCAGGGATAAAAACTATCCTATGTCCTTTCCTGGGACTCACACTATCTTTATACGAAATTTTATGTAAATCGGTTTGGCGGTTTAACAGATAGACAGACAGACAGTCCCACTTTCGCATTTATAATATTAGTATTGATGAAAACTGGCATAGACGACTCACTTCTTTCTATTTACAAAATAGCTGGGATGAATTCTTGCCGAGCCTTTTCTCAAATTAGGTTGGGGTCAGTTTTCGGTCTATTACGACACAGCTGAACTTCGATATTTACGTGGAGCGACTGCCATCACAACTCCACAACCTAAGTACTAGGCGATACCGAAGTTCTGTAGATAGACTGTCGTCGGACTTTTAGGGCTCTAGCTCTAGCTCTACCCGTAACGATTTCCACTGAGGTATGACTGACTCATGACCTGGCTAGGATTACTTAATTTTGCAATTAGCCAACCTACTCGGTTGTTACTTAGCCCTTCTCCGATCCTCACCTACTATATAACACTTAAAAATTTGTTGTAGTTAGGTACTCTTTATTTAACGTTAAACCTTACTTATTCTCGTTTTAACTGATAGATTATCTTTGTCCCTTTTTATTAAAAGTATTCATTCTCAATGAGTAATCACAGTTAGAAACACTGTAAGTATGTGGTCTAAATAAAACAATTATGTTTTTTTCTTGTTTGAAGCTTTAAAGGTCATTTATATATCCACTCGTGTCGTAAATGTAAACCGTAAAACTTATCTATATTACTCGTACTAGTATTTGAATCAAGGTTAGTGGCGTGCAGGTTAATAAAGCGCGCAGTGTTTGATTTCTGTTAGTGTAAATAACTATGGCGAACTGCAGTTTTTAACGGTTGTGTTACTTTTTTAGTTTTTACCCCGACAATAAAGCAGTTAGATAGATTTAAAAAAACGAGTTAACAATTTTGATCAAATCGTGAAATGTTTATAAATGTATACTACGTATGTACAAAAATTCGGGATTTTATAAGTTTAACGTGTGTTTGTGTATCTGCGTATCTGCGATGGCTCCATAGCTATTAAAGGGATTAAACAATTTCGATTTAGTTTTTCTGTTAGAATTGCGAGACGATCGAGAGTGTTTTTAACTCTGATTTAAGAAAGTGTTATGTATTTATATGTTATTTTTAAAAGGGTTTTTGTGAGCATTTCGAATTTTAATTTTATATTTGTAAATAATCTAGAAACTCTCCTGAAAATACAAAAGCGGGGAAGAATTTGCTTAAACCCGATAAATTTTTGAATCGCATACCATAGGTGCTTGAACAATGAGGTAACTTGAGTTCGTTTGGATTTCTTTGCAAGATGAATAAATAGTGCACCATTTATAAACTAAAATTGTCAATGACAAGTTTCTAGCTATAAAGTTTTTTGCGACCCATAAGTATGCAGCTTGTAGGTAAAATTCTTAATTCGAAATAATGTAGGGTAGCAGCTTTTTCAAAGTAAACCCTTTACACATCTATTTATAGTTTTATACAACGGAGGAAGCAAATAACGAAACAGCATTCTCTTGGCAAGCCTTTATCTGTGGTGCAACGGCAATAGTGTTAGTCCCGAGTTACATTTGTCAACCTTATCCGGTACCCCGTGGAGCTCCAACAAGTTTATACTTTGGCAGGGAGAGGTTATTTTGGATTGTCACTTAAATTTGTGTGAAATTTTTAAAGGATGAGGTAAATATTTCGGTTATATTTCATGACAAAAACGTGTAGGTACCTTACACATAAAAATATCCAATTTGGCCCGTTGCCCGTTTTTACCCGGAGTCAGCGAAATGGCAGGCTGTTAAAAGTAATTAAATAGCTGAGTCAAAAGGTTCGCTTATACGCATGTGTGTACATTCTTATGTTCGATTACACAACATTTTAGAGGAAAAATGACTGAAGATTGTATTACGTGATTACAAAGGTGGACGACTTGATTGTGGTAATGGTGGTGTCTTAATGTCAGACATGTGGCGAACAGTCAGATGATAAACAATGCACATTTTAATCAAACTCAAAGGAATTAGGCACATCTTTTCCAAAAACGAGTTTGGCAATACAACATATTGAACATTTATCAATATCTCTCTTTCTATTACTCGGTGTTCCTCGGTTTCAGTGTAGGAACATGAAGCACTTTCATAAATTGAGTAATTAATACACGGGTGCGTCCGACGATGACGTACGTCATCATTCTTTTAATCAGCAGTTCTATTTACCAAATTGTTTTCGAACAGAAATAGATAGGAAACTTACACCTGACAATTTATTGTATAAGTGGCTAAATCAGGCACATAAGTAGGTAGTTAAACAATCTGAATTTATGATTCCAGATTGAGTTAATTTTGATTTGTGTTATACTTTAAAAAAAGGTGACAGATGACCTGTTGTTGGCTTTGATATGCCTTGAAATACGGCTTTACAGAAAATCGGTGTTACATAATGCTTACGTTGCATTCTCATAGGGCGGGTAATTTACTTAAGTTAATTTACTCATGAGTTGCAGGTAAATCCATAGGTGTTAGTCACTTTAAATCATAGCTGTCCCGTTATTTAGTCCTTATATTCTAAAATAAAAAGATCAGAATTTTATTCAAAGTAGTTTAGAATAACGACAATTGAAATAAAATTATTAGCCTATTCCGAAGATTAGTTAGTTCGTATCGTGGTAGTTGTAGTTGTGGTTGATTTAAGGAAATCCATGTTTTTTTTTTGTTTTCAAATAGGCTATATTCAGAAAGGGATTTAATTAAGCTTTGCTTTGCTACCTGAGCTATTCGATGTCCACCACAGTAATTGTAACGTAGGTAAGTACAAGTGACAAGCCAACACGGGCAACATGTTTTTATGGTATTATTATCTGACTAAAATAAACAGTTACAAAAGATCCTAATCAGTCCTCGATCATCATCGATGTTTTCATCAGATAATTGTCATTTTAAACGAGTGGAGAGGATGCTAGTTATTTTCACTCGACTCTGACGTTGGTGAGGAAATAATTCCAAATGGATGAAGTTCCATATTATGTATTCTGTAGATATTTATGCCTTCGTTTTTCTATTGCACCTTTGATTCTTTATTTTTTTTTATAAATTTAAGTATTTCTGTGCGTAAATAAAATGACTTCTGACTTTACGTTTATGTTGCCCTAAAATATGCAACACTGTATATTGATATACACGGGCACTCCTTAAATACCATAAAAATTGTAGTCTGTGTTTACGCAAGCAACAAAAGATAGCAAAACAAAAGTTGTATAAAAGTAAAACATTATAAGTAGATTCAAACGGACATTCCGTATTTATTAATCCATTTATTCAGTGTTTCATATTATGGGTCGATATTTAAACTGTATAAAGTAAACATCATTCTTTATTAACAGAGAGTTTTATTCTAATTATCAAAATGTCAGGTGTGAATTACAAAACAATTATAAAGAACGTAATTTCTCGAGAAATTATTTTGGACAATTACAAAATTACTATCTAATAGTTTCAATCATAGTTGTCGCAGGAAAACAAATTTTATTTGTAACACGAACGGTCTCTAACATGGACATGTTAAGCAACCAATTTCGGACATTGATTTCAAAAATAAATTATGTTGAAGATCCAGTAGAAGCTGCTAAGAAAATGGTCAGCTCTATACAACAATTAGTTGGTATCCGAAATGTTTTCGGAGACAAAAAGCGTAGTAAGCAGAAAACATTACCTTTTTAAATATTTTTAAGAACTTATTGACCACGGACAATCGAGTTTTCGTCCGTGGCAGAAATAAGATCTTCATCACTATCTTATTGCAGGTGTTACTATCCCGTGTCTATTCATTACGTTGTTCTTCGGTGGAACATTTGTATATGTTGGCACGTTCAGTCAACTCGTGTATCTGGTCCAAGTATTTCCGGATAAATCGGAGACTTTCAAAGCTCTCAACTGCATTAGCGTGACTTGTGTGCCGTTATCTAAGTATTTTTTTATGTGGTTTTCCAGGTTAGTAACATCATATGTGAATGTAAGACATAATTCCTAAAAAATCCAAATATACAAACATTTTTTGGTTTTAATGATTTTATTTACATTAAATGAAGAAGTAAAACATTATGCTTAAATATCTGTTTTTTATATTTTTAAATTAAATTCTGTTAAAGCGCTCGCCTCAGAACGATTTTTGAGTTAAGTCATCATGGAGTGTCTTTACTACCAGAAAAAAGTGCAGCAAAGAAAAAAATGTTTGGAACGCTTCAACGAGCACGCTACGCTTCTTGGTTTATCGTCGCTAATCAAGCGTTTATACACATACTTTACTTGTTAATGCCTTTAATATTTACTGTTTTTGGCAACGACAGATATTTGCCGACAACTCCTGGGGACTCGTATGGTACGTTTTTTCATTAATCTCTTGCTTAGTAGCTTTATTAGTTTTATTACAATATTTAGGAGCGTAAACAAAAATAAACCATCCCTATAGTTCTACTTTTGTAAGTACCTATGTAACAGGTTAAAGATTTTAAATAGTATTAACCGATATATTCAACATAAACACTGGTGTTGTTCAAGATGCTCGCATGCGTAGACGCGTGCTTTGACATCATTTGTTGGTTGGGCGTATATTCGGTTACATACGCTTGCGTTTTTAAAGCGACAACGTGTGAATTTAATAAGATAATTTAGCCGTTTAAATAGTCTCAATATATAAAATATGCAAACAAACGTTTAGCATTTTTTATATGGATTAGTTTATTTATGTATCCAATAACTGATGATGATATGATACATAAAATACTTACATGTAAACATACATACATGAACAGCTAGTTGCTGCTGGTTTTTATAGTTACTTAGGTTAATTATTAAGCAGATACTATTTTCAATAAGATAATTAAGTCAAAATATGTATCCCAAATATAAATTCAAAGGCTTCATTTCAAATTTATAATTTTTTAATGTTATTTGTGAATCTTAATATAACTGCTTTATCAAAAAAATCACATCATAAATACTTCTGGAACTGCCCGATTAGCAGAAAGATCACGTGATAGATTAGGACAGTTTTTAATTAGGCACCGGTTATAAAAGTTTTAAATCATACCATTCCTAAAGTACAGTTTTATAATTCTACTTTTGAAACAAAGCGAGTATTTTCAATATCGGCAACGGTTTGCACACAATAAACATCGTATAAAGTCAAATACAAAACATGTACCTATTTTTTTGAGTAACACGCAGTTATCGCATTTTAAAATTAATTTTTTTATTTATAAATATATAATACTTTTCTACGAATGTCTATTCCTATGTATGTCCTTTTCTTAATGTTTCAGGTCTAAGTCCTAAGTATGAAACACCGTTTTACGAAATAACGTTCGCTGTTACATGTGTCGCAACAGCTTTCTCCGCCGTTAATCAAACTGGATACATAGTCCTTTTTATTACATTGGTGGCTCACGAACTTGGACATTTTTATGCCATCACGAAAACACTAAATGAAATCTTTACAATTCTAAAGAATCCAAATGGTTCTGAATTGAATTCTGAAGAAATAGAAGACTCAATAAATCAGAGACTAATATTTTGCGTAAAACAGCACCAGTTCTTGATCTACTATCATTATAAAATTAGAAAATTGTATAAAGTGGTTTTTGGGGCCCATTTTGTCATGATGACGGTCGTGTTAGTTACCACTTTGCAGACGATGAATGAATGGGACGGTAGAAACACAATTCTGACGGGTGTGACTGGTATTATGCCGTTATTCCTCTATTGTTTCGGCGGCGAGCTCTTAATTTCCGCGGGACAAGAAATGTCTACATCTATTTATACATGTGGTTGGGAACTAATGGAGGCAAGACAAGCTAAAATCGTTATCTTAATGCTTTGTCTCGCTCAACGTCCGCTTTATTTATCAGCGGCTGGTGTTTTTATTATGAACAGGGAGACTTTTGGTGGTATTGTCCAAGTCGTATACAAAATATATGCTGTTTTTAATTGAGTTATTTTTCGTATGTGAAACACAAAGATTATTTTTCATTTATTTATTTCAATAAAAACTATGCTTAAAAGATGTTTTTGTTTTCGTGTTCCCTAAAAGAACAAATTCTTTAATTTCACGTGTAACTAAATCTCTACGTACTTATGACTGTACGAATAATTTGGTACAATGCATGCCTGAGGGTAAGTTTGTACTTATGAAAATTTGCAATACCATAAAGTTTGACAAGTTTGTGTCAACACTCCGACGAATGTGGGACAGAGAAGCTATATATTTGAATCGTGGTAAATGATTTTTTTTAGTCTACCCGGGTATGCAGACACCGGCTGAGGAAAAGGCGATATGTATGTACTTATATATTAATATCACTTGTTCGTTGTAAATCTTGTACATGTAAGGGCTCTGTATAGTCACTGAGCCAGACTTAGCCAGCCATATATTAACTTATATTTAAAAGTTAATATCGTATGTTGTCTGTCTATTCTGAGTATGCCATACTCGCCTAGACGTCCTGACGTTGGTGGATGTTAGAATATTTTTTAGTAAAATGATGTAGAAGATAAAGATTTCAATCACTAAAATTTCTTCTCATGTGAAAAAGAAAATGTTCAATAGTTGCATACAAGATAATAGGTTTCCTAGTAAAATATTCTAAGAAAATAACTTGATATCTCATTACCATGGTTACGTAAGGACTTATTTACATAGACTGGTGAATGGGGTCACACTGGGTTGTTGGTCACAAGTTACCTACTTAGTGAAAGACCCAAGAAAAGTACTCTTGTGGTTATAAGATGACTTTTAATGTGTCTTTCGCTAAGTAGGTTGTCTATCTGCCATCTCATTACTTTGGCTTTTTCTTCATTTCCACTTCTATGTGTTACATCTATTATACTTTGTGTAATCCTTACAGGCTCAACGATTTTTTCTGTCATAATCATTACTGTCATTAGTCGTCGACTTTTTACCGACAAAATAAATATTTTGATAGATAAGACGGTACTTTTTCATTTTAAATAATATATCTAAAAGTATTCTTTGACATTCAAGCCTATGAAATATTTACACATAAAAGTCCGTCTGAGCACGTACTATATACCTATATACAGAGTGGAAGCAGCTCATGCGATTGTCTGCTGCAGAGTAAAATAATAGCCGACAGCGTATGTTCTCGCATTACAAAGGGCCTCGGTAAAATTGACATCCACGGAACGAGACTGTACATAATTATAAGTATACCAGCTGACCCTGCGAACTTCGTTCCGACTAACAGTCAGTGAATGAGCAGATTTTGGATTTTAAAATTAATTCAAAATTATTAAGTTCAATTTTTATAAGGATAATAAATTTAAATTTAAAAATCAAGTATTTTAATGACATGCCCGCAAGACATTTGCTTTAATGGCCATGTATTTTGGTCCAGGGATTGCACCCTTCAGTAAAGCACCTTGTGATATACGACATTTTTCGTATTGTTATGAAGAACAGATAAAGCAGATGGTTTTCCGAATTATATAGCTTGTCATCCACATCTTTATTCTCAGCCTAGAAAATTGCTCACTCACGCAACCATTCATTTTTTTTTGTGATTAGCAATGTAATAGTATCGGCACATAAGATTTATTATAATAATACTCGTAGAAACTCGTAATAATCGCCCAAATCAAACACCTGTCAACATCAATTTCAACGTTTTGCGGTATTTTCAAAACAAACCATAGACAACATTACATGAGCTGTCACTTGCGTTTTGTTATACCATTTATAACAAATGAACGGACAGACTGATGTTTTTTAATAAAAAAAAATATCGATGAATATCATATTTTAATACTTATTATCCTATTCCGGACGAAGACAAATCCATAAACAAAAACATGAATAAAATTGGTCCAGCCGTTCTTGAGTTATACATTGTGTAACTAACACGATTTTGTTTATATATATATAGATTAAACGAGTGTGTCTTCTATCTTATTTGGAAGCGAAATAAATGATACACAAATGGGACTTCAATTGTGGAGTTATGTAACGACATTGCTACTACATATTTGAAGCAAATTTTAGAGTAGAGGAATGCTTTGGCATAAATGGACCGGCTCGACTGAACTGATAATACGGCCTTACAGTGCTTGTGTTCATTCGTTAAGTGAAGTTACCGGAGCCCAAACCCCTCCCCAGGATTCTAAGGGGAGGGACTCAATAGGCCGCAACGCACATTTGCAACTGCGGGTGTCTATAGGCGAAGGTAGTTTTTTACCATCAGTCTTCTCGTTTGCTCAATTTATATATATAAATAAATAAATAAAAATATATATATATAAAAAAAACAGTGACACTCTGGGAGTGCCGACAGAAGTGAGAACTTATATACTTATATACAGAGGTGCCGGTAACGGTAACATTGTCGCGAGTTCAATGGTTTTTTCCCATCTCAAAAAATGCCCAACGTGCCTAAAGTGCTTTCACTTCAAAAATGTGCCATGTTTACTTCTCGATAAATCTATTTTCTATTGTGATAGAAATTGAAAATAAGTGAGGCCTTTAAAGAGTTGCATTTAAAAAATATATTATTAAATGTAATTGTTTGATGATATTGCCATTGGTGTCAACCGTTTGTTCCAAGAAAATTATTTGTCGCATTGACATTCAGGTTTGATGAATAATAATGACCTACGTTCCTTGCAGAAAAAGCTAACTTCACTTAACTAGCACGTAAGGTAGGCAGGCGGTGCTTCCCAAGTCTTGCTTCGGCGAGATGCTTGGACAGATGTTTATATTTTTCAATGATTAATTAAAACATTTAACTAAATGATTTAACGATGGAAAATTATTACGTCACAAGCAGATATTTCATCAAGTTTCCACAGAGCAACGTGCCGCTTTGACGTTTAATAAAGAAACAGATTGAACTTGACAGTTACTAACTACAGTGTTCTTGGTTAATTATTTTTTTTGAAGTCAGCTTTAAATCTTAAGGGTAATGTAAATATTATTTAATAAAATTAACTATAAAATTGAAAGTGATGCAAAAATAAACAAGAAAGATACTATGTTTTTACGCTTTCACAGCATAAATGTACATATTCGTATTTCGTTCTTTTCACGAAATTCAAAGATCCTGAATAACATTGATGTTGTTTTAAACAGGCACCTAATGTGTGTGAATATGAAGGGCTTCACTAGAAGCCCCTACTCTCGGTACAGTTACCTTCACGTAAAATTTCATTTCATGTATTGGTGAAAGCTTTCTAAGTAAGCACTCGTGCCACAGTGACACGAAATGACCTTTCAAATTAGTGAATTTATGAAACAGTATGTAATAGGTTAATAAAATAAACATTCTGTCTAACTACTTGGGAAACCAAAGTTAAAAAAAAAAAAACTATTTTTGTTATTTATTCTTTCATAATCTTTCCCTGAACAACATTTTTATAACTATGTTAAACAAATGACATCATTTCTAGACTATTTTATTTCAATTACGTTAGTTCTACTCGTCTATTGTATTCTTGCACAGCAAACTATAGTCCGGTCATTTTAGACAAAAAATAGTGATCAAATAAAAAAAAATCCGACAGAGCCAAATCTTCGTAGAGACCTTAGGTTTACCACAAGGAATAAAGTGTCAAAAGTCCCCATCAGTCCCATGTGAGCTTAGGGACTTATTCGGGGCCCAAGGTCAAAATTTTTGGTTTTTTGGATTTTTCTCGAAAACGGTAAGTTTTATCGAAAAAGTACCTTTTTTTTTTTTTTTTTTTTTTTTCCGTGCGGAAATCCCCTCGGATACCACCTGTCGGTGGCATGTCGGACTCGAACCGACTAAAACCGCACGCCTTCGCCGGGTACTAATAGCCGGGGAACCAGGTATACCCTAGAAAGGAAGGCCCTGGTGCCCCGACATACCTCGGGTCATCTACAGACGAGTAGACGACCCCCGCCCCGTGTGGGAACCCCATGTTCCCTGTGCTCCCTGGAAGCGAGCGCGCTTCGCAACGCGCTCGCCGCCACCCCGGCCTGCTTCTGCTAGGGTGACAGATGGCCTCACCTGTCACCCCCAGGCCTGCGCTTATGGAGGACGGAGGTCGTTCTGCGACCTCCGGCGCCTGAGTCGCCTGCGCTGCCTGGCCCGTGCCCGGGCCTGGCGGGCCGGGAGAGTCAGAGCAAAGTTGTAGATCTTAAAATTCATGTCATTTAGACATCGAGGCAATGCCAACTTCACGAGCTTTATGACAATTAATCTTATCGTCACCAACGACTCCTGAAGCAATAGATAAGATTTTGTTAATTTCGGGAAAAGGATCATGTGATGAAAACCAGTCAAGAAGTATTTTAATATCTTTAGCATCTTTCTTAACTCTCGAATCACTCGCATCTACATGTTGATCTGTCATGTCCATTCGAACATTAGCAAGAACTTCCAACTCGCCACACACTGTGTTCATTGCATGCATTCCGTAAACCTATTTGCTTATTACACTTTCTTTTGTACTTGGTCCTCGAAAAATACCACCATCTGTTTTCATGGATTTCATCATTGATTGTTCGATAATCATATCTGTTGAAGTTCCACAACTGAGTTTATCAGAACGTCGAACAGTGAAAAATCCTGAAGTAAACCTTCGATAAACACTAGAATCAATTACCTCCTCTAATTAAAACATATCCTGCAAGTATAAGTGCGCAGACTTAGCGTAAGGTAAATGCCCCGATGCATGGAAATAAGGAAGCATTTCTTTAATGCAGTTCAAATGAGCTTGCCAATCTCCCATACGTTCAGCTCTTATAAATTCTTTTGCAATGGACACCATCCTCGTTGGTCCTCGTTTCTGATATTCCATTAACTTTTTATTAAATAAATCAAGTAAAAGTTCAGATATTTATTTGTTATGTGCATACTATGTAGAACATGATTCTTACAAGCGCAATATCTGGGAAATAGTGGGTCTTAGAGAAAAAATCATAGGGACCATTTTTATAGAGAATTTAAGATCTACAAC